TTGTTTGAGGCTGCTCAACCTCTGCCTACGCCATACATTTCTCACGTTTGCTCATGCAACGGGGTTATGCGAGGCATGTTTTTATGCATGAGAGCCAGGAGGAGCGAACTCAAGTGATGCTATCTTGCACGAAGGGCGATCGAGTAAATGATATCAATGCGCAATGACGCCGATCTATGCGTCCAAATTGCACAGAAGAATCTTTGATAGTCCAAAGTTGCTCTCCGTTGCGCGGCACCGGAAGCTGACGAAGATAAAAGCTGACTATACGCTATTGGGAGTGAGAATGAGTAAGGAGGGGTACGCTCCTTCTACCACATGCGAGTGTGGTCGGCTAAAAATGGTTCCGTCCACTGAGCGCTACTTGAATGGAAGCAAAACTACGGAATTCCACAAGTTCATACGGTTTATGCGCCGAATTACAACCAGGAATTTCACCTTCTTGCTCATCCCTTTTATCGCCTCGTAGTATGCCTATTTAGAATCAGTCTGCACATTGTGTTTCGTGTAGGTTTAATTTTCTTGAGCTCTTAATAGCAGAGAAGGAAGTTAGGATGGAATGATTTGCCTCTGCGTTTACATGCGTGCAAGTCATAGAGCTTTACATGACTATCCCAAAAAAGTGAATCGATCTGCCAGTGGGTGACCAATGCAGAATGATGTTGTATGGGCAGACATTAGTCAAAGGCTATACTCACGAACGCAGATTTCTGACCACCTATGGGCTGGAGTAGTAGGGTGCGTGAGCGTTTGTGACAACAACGGAAGCAATGGTTGTGCGTGGAATAATTGCAGAGGTGTGACACCGAATTGGTCTCGGACAGACGGATTGCGCAAAGCCTGCACCCAAGTGGTACGGGTACAACAAGGCTGGCAGGACAGTTGAAAGACGGGAGAACAAAATGTGCCAACAACTAGCCAACTAACTATTCTCCAGCCTCTATGACAGCGTTATTTGTGCAATCCTCCTACCTCGTGCGACCACTAAGGAGGTCCTCTCGTGTGGTCGTTACTACTGCGTCCAAGTAGCCATGACAGATTACGGAGTCCGACTCCGGGGAAGTCGTAGGATGGAGCGCAATTGCCTGGTAGAAAGGCGCGTGCAGCTCATCGGCTTCGATTAATGTCTCGTTAAAATCGTAAATGATGAATATTACAATTGCTTCTAGCGCATTAGTGGGCGGGACTAACGGGGTACAAGCCACGAGTAATGGCCGGTAGCGTAAGAGGAGGGGCCAGTGAAGGAAAGTGAGGGGAATCGCCATCGAGTCATGCAAAAGCTACAAAATCTGCACCTCTTTTAGCCCACTGTCAATCGCCAATAACAGCAGTGCCTTCAAATGGAGTCCGTAAAACACAATTTTGTGGCCTGCAGCCTCACAGAATGATCACACGGTATGGCTTACCTGTACTCGTGGTTACAATGGGCATGGTGAAATACATCACTCGCTCTCCAATTTTTTCCAAAATCACTTTGTATGCTGAGTTGGGTGTCAGATCGTCAAGAGTGATTTCTCCGTCACTGAGTAGTCAAACTTTATCCCTCGGGTGTGTGATGATTGACACAAATGCACTGGCGATTTCATGCAGGCTTTGCGGCTCCCACTTGAGTCGAATGAAGCGAGA